GTTTATGTTGTAGGTTTGATTGGAGCAGGTTAAGGAATCCTGTAGCAATGGGCAGAAAACAGGGGTTACACCCACACCACACCAAATCCTGCAGCAGAAGTCCATACCCAGCAAAAACTGGGGCTTCAAGATATTTTTAGGCTGTTTTTTTAGGCTGTACAGCTGGTTTAAGACCTCTGTCATTCTGCTCCTGCAGGTGAAGGAATAAAAGGGACTGACAAGAACTTGGGACAAGAGCACCCCATACCTGCCTCCGGGCATCCTCCAGAGTGCTGCCAGTGTGGAGGCCATCAGAGCTCCCAGGTTTCTGAAGTGAGGATGAGAGGAGATGTAAGATGGCTTCAGACATCAGTAAAGGATAAAAAAATTAGGTTTTCAACTGCCTGACAAATCTCAGCTTGCCTGTGACATCAAGCAAGAAGTAGCTTTGTTCTGTTTCTGGTAAAAATGAAAGCACCCACACCACACCAAATCCTGCAGCAGAAGTCCATACCCAGCAAAAACTGGGGCTTCAAGATATTTTTAGGCTGTTTTTTTAGGCTGTACAGCTGGTTTAAGACCTCTGTCATTCTGCTCCTGCAGGTGAAGGAATAAAAGGGACTGACAAGAACTTGGGACAAGAGCACCCCATACCTGCCTCCGGGCATCCTCCAGAGTGCTGCCAGTGTGGAGGCCATCAGAGCTCCCAGGTTTCTGAAGTGAGGATGAGAGGAGATGTAAGATGGCTTCAGACATCAGTAAAGGATAAAAAAATTAGGTTTTCAACTGCCTGTGACATCAAGCAAGAAATAGCTTTGTTCTGTTCTGTTTCTGGTAAAAATGAAAGTATGTTTGATATCCCCAAGAACTGAAATCCTCTGTGGAGTAGGAAAGCCAACTCCTTGCCAAATGCCCACCTTCCTGAAACAGGATATTCACTGAGCCAGGCACAGCCTGAGCTGGACATAATCAAGCCCTGCTTGTGTTATCAGTGAAACTTGTCAAATCCTCCTCTTTCTCAAGGGGCTCCCCATCCCTGGCCCTGTGAAACAGCAGTGGAGCCCAGCCCCAGTGCACATCTCCAGAGCTGGGCTGGTGCCAGAGGACAGGAATTGTGCTGACCAGTTCACTCCTGCATGTCAGGACAGCAGCCACCGTCTTCTCCCCGGTCGTTGCAAAACTCACTAGAGCTGCCTGGAAAAGGAAAAAAAAAATAGCAAGAAATAATTTAAAAAAACCTTCAAGAAACAGGGGCTCCCCATCCCTGGCCCTGTGAAACAGCAGTGGAGCCCAGCCCCAGTGCACATCTCCAGAGCTGGGCTGGTGCCAGAGGACAGGAATTGTGCTGACCAGTTCACTCCTGCATGTCAGGACAGCAGCCACCGTCTTCTCCCCAGTCGTTGCAAAACTCACTAGAGCTGCCTGGAAAAGGAAAAAAAATAGCAAGAAATAATTTTAAAAAACCTTCAAGAAATCCCCAAACCTCACCAAAAAGTACTTGTGAAGTAAATAGAACCACAGTGAAATTAAAAGCAGATGAACTGTCACAGCCAAGTTTTAAATTGTAAAATTTCCCCCCAGCTCAAAAGCAAGAAAGACCTACTTCTCACAAAGATGGAACAGTTGACCTGCCACAGGTTTTTGAACCATGCTGCCCAGAGTTACTGAGATTTTTAGAACCTGCCAGCTGGCCCAGCAGTGTGAAGGATGCTCAGCTGCACTTGGCCCTGTCCCTGGTACCTGCTGGAAGTCCCGGAGGTGGCTGAGCAGCCCCTGCTTGTACTGCAGCAGGGAGAAGTGGCTTGGGGACAGCTGCAGGAAGAACTGAGTCCGTGAGGCACTGGTCACACTGGGCTGAGTGGCCAAGATCCTGGCCTGAAAGTCATCTGCAAACTCCAGCTCCAGGGACTGCAGGAGAGACAAGCACATGTGCTGGGGGAGTTGTCCTTCACTGAGACCAACAGCTCCCTCCCCCCAGCAGCAGTCAGAGATTCCCTGAGTCAGGGGACAGAGCAGGAGCAGGGAAGGCTGAGGCTCCACTGGAGCAAAGCTCAGAAGACATTGATCCAGAAGGAAGAACAGACAAAAATCTTTTCCACCCTTCCCTCAATTTCCAGAGCATGATCCCCCATCTCCAATCACCCCCCAGTTCACCAACAGACTGAGGAGATGGCACCATAATGGGTCTGGACCGGGTAATAAATGACATACACCCTCAAGACAGTCACAGAAGGCTAACTCACTTTATTAAAAAACCTATCGCTTTTTATACCCTAATTTGCTACAGGTGGACCTGATTGATCCTTTAATTAAAACACCATCCCCACTGGCTAATTAAGAAGCCACCCTTTGGTAAAGAAACTTATGGGCAATACAGCTTATTACAACATCAGGTGCAGATTGTTTAGAATTCTCTCTTTCCAGCTCCCTCATGTTTCCCAGGCCGATTCTGAGAAAACTTCTCTAGCTTTCTGTCTCTCTGAGCAGGCTGTCACCAGAGGGAACCAGCTCCAACTGGAAGCAGACCAGCTGGGTAAGGAATGCCAGGAGTGCTCACCTGCAGGGGGATGTGCCTCATGTCCTGCTCGGTGTCCAGGGCGCAGACGTGCAGCGAGCGCGCGGCCGCGTCCACGCACAGCAGCACGGCCTCGCCCACCACGGCACAGGAGCCCTGCAGGGCCCCCAGCCCCGGGGCTGCCACCCTCACCTGCAGAGACACCCAGCTCAGCCTGCACAGCACCCACGTGCACACAACTGCAACTTAAGTCAGTTCTTTTTAGCCACGACTGAGAAAAACTACCTGTCAGCCTGAGGGTTATGGATAATCTTGACTGACAGCTGCCAGGCTAGCTCAGTTTGGCTGCCAGGGCATTCAGCCACGAAATCCCTGGTGTGGAGGCAATGCCTCAGGGAAAGGGAAGGTTCTCTGTGGCACAATTGATTTCCCTGCCCACCACATCACAGGGTTGGAGGTGAATTTGTGCACATCAAATCCAGATTTTGGCTCCCCTACCTGTCTTGTGATTTCTCCATCCTCCACGCTGAAGGCCAGCACGTTCAGGTGGCTCTGGGGAACGATGCCAACCACGTGGATCACTCCAGTGCCACGGGAGTACAGCAGCTCGTACTGAGTGCTCTCACTGCAACACAGGCAGCAAGCATTTCACCCTCTCACACTGCAGCCTGCAGAAGCACAAGGCAGGTGCAGCCCCGTGCCAGGGGCTCACACCTCTCCTTAGAGCTGTTCTCACCTGTCTGGCAGGTGTTCCACCCACTTCTGGTGCCCGTTGGACAGGTAGTGCAGAGACAGGGCTGCCTTCTTCAGCACTGCCACGTACTTCACTGCCTCAGGGAGCCCCACCAGGGCAGCCCCCTGGAAACTGAGCACAGGCACCAGCAATTAGGGAATTATGTTCCTATTTTATCCTGGGGAAGGGGCTGGAGCACCAGGAGAGGCTGAGGGAGCTGGGAAGGGGCTCAGCTGAAGAAAAGGAGGCTCAGGAGGGACCTTGTGGCTCTGCACAGCTCCTGACAGGAGGGGACAGCCGGGGGGTCAGGCTGTGCTCCAGGGAACAGGGACAGGAGCAGAGCCTCTCCTTAGAGCTGTTCTCACCTGTCTGGCAGGTGTTCCACCCACTTCTGGTGCCCGTTGGACAGGTAGTGCAGAGACAGGGCTGCCTTCTTCAGCACTGCCACGTACTTCACTGCCTCAGGGAGCCCCACCAGGGCAGCCCCCTGGAAACTGAGCACAGGCACCAGCAATTAGGGAATTATTTTCCTATTTTACCCTGGGGAAGGGGCTGGAGCCCCAGGAGAGGCTGAGGGAGCTGGGAAGGGGATCAGCCTGGAGAAAAGGAGGCTCAGGAGGGACCTTCTGACCCTGCACAGCTCCTGACAGGAGGGGACAGCCGGGGGGTCAGGCTGTGCTCCAGGGAACAGGGACAGGAGGAGAGGGAACGGCCTCAGGCTGGGCCAAGGAAGGCTCAGGGTGGACATCAGGAGGGATTTCCCCATGGAAAGGGTGCTCAGGCCTTGGCAGGGGCTGCCCAGGGAGATTTGGAGTGCCCATCCCTGGAGGTGCCCAAGGAACACCTGGATGTGGCACTCAGCTCTGGGCTGGGGACAAGGTGAGGATTGGTCACACCTTGGACTCCATGGTCTGGGAGGGCTTTTCCAACCTCAGTAATTCTGGGAGTGTCTGCAAGGTTCAGGCTTTTATAAAGAATTCACCCAAAATTTGTTCTGGAAACTTTACATCTGACTAATCTTTCTCTACAATGCAAGCCCAGACCAAGTCCATGAGCTGTTGTTTCCTTCCCACACCAGCCCTAGAAGGAGAACAAACCCTGCAGACAGGAAATCCCACCTGCCAGTGTCCAGGGAGGTCTCCCAGTTCAAGCCCCCGATGTTGGTCTCCCAGGAGCGCAGAATCCGCCCAGCGTTGGACACGGTGATGGCATCTGCAGAGCAGGGGAGGGGACAAACACAGCGCTGGCACCCAGCAGGGGCCAGCAGAGGGACGGGCGTGCACGCCCAGCCCGTGCTCCAAGGCTGGCTCCACACTCCAGGAGCCCTGCCAGCCCCTGTGGGAAACAGCTACTCGCTTTTCAGAAACTTAGAAAGGTTTGTTAAACCTGATCAAAAACACAACAGAAACTGAATGGAGAAAAGGTTACAGTGCCAGGAGCAGAGGATTTTCCCCACCGTGTGCTCATCCACACAATGGAGGTTTGGCTTTTTAACCCTTTAACCCCTCCCAAAGTTCTGTCCATCCACACCTTCTTCTCTGTCCAGTGGTGGAGATCACTTCCTCAAATCCTGACTGGAGGTCAGATGTTCCATAGTGACAAGCCAACCCTCCCAAATGTCCCAACCCTGGCTATCCCTTGACAACAACGTGAGGTGGTAAAACATAACTATAAATCTATGAAACTTTTCTTAACATACATGCATGACATTTGTCTGTTAATTGTGAGTCAATCACGGCACCGCGGGGAGCGCGCAGGCAGCGCGCGGGACAGCCCCGCCCGCTCCCGGCAGCCCGCGCGCGGCCCGGGGGCCTCGGAGCACGGCGGAACCATGCCCAAGTCCAAGCGGGACCGCAAAGGTGGGAGCGGGGCCCGCACCGAGTCCCGGGCACCCTGCCCGGGCACATCCCTCTCCACCCCCATTCCTGCCCCCTTCCCTACTCCTGTCCCCTATTCCGTCGCTTTCTCATTCCTCGATCCCATCCCACATCGCCCCGTTCCCTCTCCCCACGGCGTTCACCGTCCCCTTCCCTATGTCAGTCCCTTCTCCGCCCTTTTCTCATTTCTCGACCCCATCCATCGTCCCCTTCCCTCTCCCCGTCCCCTTCCCTCGTCCTTTACCCGATCCCTGTCTCCTTGCCCATCACCATCCCCTTCCCGGTCCCCGCTCCCACCCCTCCCTGACGCTCTCCGCTCCCCGCAGTGTCCCTGACGCGGACGCCCCGCAAGGGGCTGGAAGCCAAGCAGGCGCTGATCGCCGAGGTGAGTCTGGCCCGCACCCCTCTCCCCTGTCCCCTCTCCCTGCCCTGCCCGTTGCCCCGTGCCCGTGCCGGTCCCGGTAACGGCTCTCCCGCAGCTGCGGCGCTGTGTGGATACCTACAAGTACATCTTCGTCTTCTCGGTGGCCAACATGAGGAACAACAAGCTGAAGGATGTGCGGAACGCCTGGAAGCACAGCAGGTGGGCAGGGGGTGCTGCGGGCTGGGGATGCCCAAGGGGTGAGCTCCAGGGCTGACATCTTCCTCCTCCTCCTCCTCCTCCTCCTCCTGGGCAGGATCTTCTTCGGGAAGAACAAGGTGATGATGGTGGCGCTGGGCCGGGAGCCGAGCAGCGAGTACAAGGAGAACCTGCACAAGGTACCTGCTGAGCTTCCTCTGGGGGTCCTAAAGCTTCACCTGCTGCATTCCACATCCTGCAGAAACATCCCAGGGTCTCCCTTCTGTGGGGGTGTTAACTGAATCCATCCACGTTCTGCCACGAGGGCTCTGTTGAGTGGAGCAGTGCAGGACTGAGCCCGTGCGGGTGAGTCCCTGCTGCTCCCCATCCTATGGATGCTCCTTTCTTCCAGGTCAGCAAACACCTGAGAGGGGAGGTGGGGCTCCTCTTCACCAACCGCACCAGGGACGAGGTGGACGAGTGAGTACCAGCCTGGCACAGCCTTTTTGGTGCCACAAAACCCCCACGCTCCCTGCTGCTTCCCTTAGAGCAGGGGTGGTCTCATGGGCCTTTCCCACTTGTCTTTGTCAGCCACTCCCGTGACAGCAGAAATCATGGAAGGCTTTGGGTTGGGAGGGACCTTAAGGCTCATCTCATTCCACCCCCTTGGGCACTTGCAGGGATCCAGGGGCAGCCACAACCTCCCTAAGCAGCACTAGGGAGGCCGTGCCCCAGTCCCTGTCTGAGCCCAGGGGTGTTCCTCCCCCAGCTGAAGCTGCTGTTGCCCACCTGTGTCCCAGGTGGTTCTCCAGGTTCCGGGAGCTGGACTTTGCCCGTGCTGGGAACAAGGCACCGTACGGGGTCAGCCTGGACACGGGGCCCCTGGAGCAGTTCCCCCACTCCATGGAGCCGCAGCTGCGGCAGCTGGGGCTGCCCACGGCGCTGAAGAAAGGTACAGCAGGGCAGCTCTGGGCTTGGCTGTGCAGCTGGCATCTCTGCTGGACAGTGCTAAACACAGCAGGAGCATTTGGGTCTGGAGAAAACCTGAGGGACACCTTTGTCCTTGTTGGGCTGGGGCTAGAATGCCTATCCTTGTGCTGTGGTTCCCAAACTGGTGTCAGAGGCTGAGTAAAGCCCGCAGATTTCTGCAGAATGCCATCCTTTTCCAGTGGAAACAGCTCGGATTAACCCACTCAGGAACCAGCTGTGGGGTTTTGGAGCTGATCTCACCCGTCTCCTTGGGGTGCTCTCATGCTGCATGGGAAGGTGTCAGCTCCAAGGGGTGGTGTTGGAGAGCCCTGGCTCTGCCCCCACGTTCCAGGGGAGCTCCCAGTGCCTGGGATCTATTTCCAGGGGTTTTGCTCTGCAGGAGTGGTGACGCTGCTTTCGGATTACGAAGTGTGCAAGGAAGGGGATGTTCTCACCCCAGAACAGGCCCGTGTGCTGGTGAGTAACACAGCAGCCCTGCTCCCTGACACAAAATAACTAATGATTAATTAACACCTAAAACCCAGCACCAATTATTTTGGTTCCTGCTTTGCTCCACTTCCTACCTGGAAGCGGAATTTACTGTTTTGCTAGGCTGGGCACAGAGACAGTAAAGCAGGAATGACAGATTTGTGTCCTCTCCTAGAAACTCTTTGGCTACGAGATGGCAGAATTCAAAGTCACCATGAAGTTTCTGTGGAATTCTGAGACGGGAGACTTCCAGAAGCTCGTGGGAGATGCAGCAGAGGAGGAGGAAGAGGAGGATGATGATGGCAGCAATGAGGACTAACAGCTTGGACACCAGACAGTTCTATTTTAAGGACAAAAAGAGGAGGATATTTCCCTTCCTTGGGTGCACCTGCACTGGGATGATCTTTATAGAAAGTGACCTAACTATGCTTTTTTTATATTTATATAAATATCTATGTGAAACCAGATGGTTGTTGCTGCTGTCTGTTAGTGATGGTGGATCCTGGGACCTGAGGAAATGCCAGCTCAAACATGAAAACTGGGCAGGAAGGGTGTAAATGTAATGGAATTTTGATATAGCACAAAGGGAAAGATGCTGAGTGTTATTCTGACACAGAAGATCCTTAGCTCAACCACTGGAATTTTGCCTTATCCCTGTCAGTGTCCAAGGCCAGGCTGGATGGGGCTTGGAGCACCCTGGCATAGTGAAAGGTGTCCCTGCTCATGGCAGGGCGTGGAACACGATGAGATTCAAGGACTGTCCAATCCAAACCATCCTGAGATTCTGTGACTCGATGTCCCCAAGTGCTGCCAAAGAGACAACAGATTCCAGGCACAGGTCAGACATGGGCTCTGCACTAGAAAGAGGTTTTATTGTATGTAATTATTTAAGATTTCACATTAAAGCAGAACAGGGGCCTTCACCTCATTAAGGTGTTCATTTTCCTGATCAGCTGCATCCTGAATCACGGGCTGTGCTGGGGGAGCTGAGGGGCTTGCAGGGAGCACTAAGGCACGGGTGTGGATCCTGCAAAGCTTCACTGACTCAGGAAGAACCTGCAGCCCTCCAGCCGTGCATGGGGGGGCGGGGTGGGCAGTACCTCTCCCGAGGCTCCAGAGCCTGTGCTGGGTATCCCAGCCTTCCTCCCCTAGCGGAAGTAGTTGGGGCAGTCGTGTGCACTCAGGTTCCAGGCCTCGTCGAACGCCTGCACCACGGCCGGCAGCAGGGGACCCTCCTCGCTGTAGTTGAGGTTCTGCTCCAGCTGCTCCAAGTTGGACATGCCAATGATCACTGCATCTCCCAGAGAACCCTGGGAAGAGATGGGAGGTAGGTGTTGCTGATCCCAAAAGAAAGTTCACATCCCAAGCCACTGCAGGCCAAACAAAGCATTTCCTTCCACCAAAGAACATCAGGAATTAAGCAACTGACACCACAAATTCTGCTCACTAGGCCAGGACATTCCCAAGTCACCCCAAATCCTAAGAAGCTGCCAAATCCTACTTTATGAAGGGCTACAGGAACATTTAGGGAACACCAGGAGTATTAAGCATTAGTTTCCTAGTCCAGTGAAAGGCAAGTCCTCTCCTTGCAGGGAAGCTGAGTGCGTGGGAAGCCAAGACCCCAATAACTGGCACCTAAAATCTTCCACTTGAAGCTTCCAGTTCTGACCACATGGGAAAAGGCAGAGCTGCCTCACTCCCGCTGCCTGGCAGTCTGTACAGCAATATTCACTTTGGAATGCCACAATCCCACAGGATTAAAAGACACCTACACTGAAATTTCCCCGTTTGCGAGCCATGGCAGCAGTGCCCAGTGCTGGCAGGTCAAGCTCTCACCTGCAGTTTGGAGTGGTTGTAGAGCCAGCGCAGTGCAGCAGATGCCAGGCTGGGTGCAGTGGAGCCATAAGCCTCTTTCAGAGCTTTTTCTACCAGTGCAATTCCGTCAAAATTGTGTTTTTTCCAGTACCTGCCAAAACAAAATCATTGTTATTGCCCTTGGGACCTCTAGTCAGTGGTACATCTATATTCCAACCAAAAGGCTTTCAGGAAGGCTCATACAACTCTTTGTAGCCTTGGAGGACTTCTGCAGTCTCCCTTGGGAGCTGTGAGGAAGCGGAGCCTAAAAACCACCCTGCAGAGCTCAGTGACACACCACAGCCCCAACCACGTGTGCTGACATAATCCCAAGCTTTGGTCAATTCTGCTTCCTCTAAGTTGACTATTAGAGTTTTTTTCATGCAGCCATTCCTGCTTGTCTGTCAGCTGAGGACATACCTGTCCCTGTAGGCCTGAGCCCAGTCATTCCCAAAAAATCTCCCAGTGGGCTGGCGCGTGTCTTTGTCCTCGTACTTGTACTTGCCAGTCAGCAGCCCCCCTGGGAGGGAAGGGAGCAGCAGGTTTGGGGATGGGCTGGCTCTGCAGAGCCCCCATTCCTCAGAGTTTTGTCCCAAAGCCTTGTCCCTGTACCTGCCAGCGGGTTGTAGGCGTAGAAGCGCAGCCCAAAGTGCCTGAGGCAGGGGAACAGCTCGGCCTCCACCTGGCGCGTGGTCGCGTTGTACATTCCCTGCACGGGGTGGGAGACAGCCTCAAACAGAGCTCAGGGCACAGCAGCTCCTCTTCCCACCCTGCCATGGCAATACCCATCCCAGAGAGCGGCTTCAGGTCACACAAGGTGATGATTTGCTTAGGAGCAGACCCACTGAAGGACTGCAAATAATTGAAGTTCCATGCTAGAGGAGTCTCTGGCTCCAGCAATGAACACTGAGCTGTTTCTGAGCATCAACCTCGCTCATCTTCCTGAATTTCCTCGCTGAAAGGATGGTCAGGAAGGGGCTGCCCAGGGAGGTGTTGGGAGTCCCCATCCCTGGACATGTCAAAAGAAGGCCTGGACGTGGCACTCAGTGCTCTGCGGTAGTGACAAGGTGGGCACTGGGCACAGCTGGGACTGGAGGTCTTTTCCAACCTCAGTGAGTCTGTGACTTCCCAGACTAACTGCAGCAGATTCCTTCTGTGTTTATATCTGGAACACTGGGGCTGGTGCTAGATTTGGGGAGCCCAAATCCAAGCTTCCCTCCTCCCTCACCTGGTACACAGTTGGCATCACCCAGTTGTTGTACTTGCAGATGGCACAGATTTCTGCCACCTCCCACGCGGCGTAGTTTGACAGGCCAAGCTCTTTAAACTTCCCCTGCAGAGGAATAAGGGAATTCACTTCCAGTGTTTCAAAGTTCATCTGGACCCAGACAGCACAAGATGGGTACAGTGAAAAGGACAGTCACCAAATTTTAGTCCAGAAGGGTTAATTCCTGTCCACCTTTTCTGACAGATTATGAATTATTAAAACATGAAAAAAATATTCCCCATTTTCTCTTAATTTGGAATTCACACCTTCTAGTTTAAATGATATAGCCAGATAAATGAAACTCAGGAATTTTTTACCCATTACCAGCACTAATCTTAACCCAGACTGTTAACAGGGCTGGAAGCAAAGTCCAGATGTTCCAAGAGCTCTTGGGAACAAAGTGCACCACATGAGCACACAAAGAGCAGCGGCTGCTCACTCAGCTCTGCCCTGGGCTCTGTCTCCTCTTCGCAGAACTGCACAAACCCAGCACTGCAGACAGGCACAACAAGCAGCCCTGGTTTAAAAAAAAAAGCAGTGGGAAGGAGGGAATCAAGGATTGACCAGGCTTGGACTCTGCACTTCACCTCTTTGTGCAGCTCGTTGCAGGCACGCAGGGTTTCCTCCACCGGGGTGCCATGGTCAGGAGCGTGGAGGTAGAAGAGCTCCACACTCGTCCGCTGCAGCCTCTCCAGGGACGTGTCCAGCTGCGAGCGCACGCTCTCCGGCTTCAGCGTCTTCCCATCCCACGGGTTGGCCTTGGTGGCCACTTCCACTGGCAGAGAGAGAAGGAATGAGCAAGGACGTTTCCACCTTGAGGAGGGGAGTGGGGATAAGTGAATAAGTGTTTGAGGTGTTTCAGGGAAGGTGCCTTTCCTCAGGAATCCTGTCAGCCTGGCAGGGGAGGCTCTTCTCTGCACTGAGGGTCAGCCCCAGGCAGGGACGGTCTGCTTCTCAAGGTCTGAGGGTCAGCACTAGTACAGGTGTCCCTTCCCCTCAGGATATGGCATCAGCAGGGAAAACTCTTGTTCTAAGGGGATGGGCCTGGGGGAAGTCTGCTTTCCTCGAGGAGGCAGTCAGCCAGGCAGGGAAGATCCCTCTCCTCAGGGAATGGACCCTGGGAGCGCCCTTGCCCCTGGGAACAGCCTCAGACTGGCAAGGAAGACCCTCCTCCTTCCCCAGAGAAGTGCCATCTCCTCAGGGAGGGCATTAGCCCAACAGGGAAGACCCTGCTCCTCAGGGAACGAGTCCTGGGCAAGTCTAACCTCCTCAAGGACAGTGTCAGCCTGGCAGAAGAGATGAGACCCTCTCCTCAGGGACGACCCTCCTCAAGGAAGAACCCTCTCCTCAGGGCACGGTTCCCAGCAAGTCCCCTCTCCTCACGGAAATCCCTTCTCCTCACAGAAGGAGTCCTGGCCAAGTCCCTTCTCCTCAAGGACAGTGTCAGCCTGGCAAAGCAGACCCTTCTCCTCAGGGCAGCCCCCTCTCCTCAGACACGGGCCCCGAGGCAGCCCCGCTCCCCCGAGGGCAGCCCGCCCTCCGCCGCCCTACCGGGCTCGGTGCCGCCGGCCAGCAGCGCGCCCAGGATGCGCTCGGACTCGCCGCCCGCGTACATGAAGGCGGTGTCGATGAGGCGGTGCCGGCGGCGCAGGAAGGCGCGGAGCAGCTCGGCGCTCGCCTCGGAGCCGGCTCGCCGGCCCATCTCCATGGCGCCCAGCACCACCGCGGGCCGGGCCCCGGCACGCCGAGCTCGGAAAAAACTGCGAGTGACTGTGGGAAAGGCAGTGCTGGGAACCCCCTCACACGGCGGGGCCGGGCCCGGGCACGCCGAGCTCGGGAAAAACTGCGAGTGGCTGTGGGAAAGGCAGTGTTGGGAACCCGCGGGGAGCGTGGGGAAAAGCAGCCACTTTCTGAAAAGGTTCGCTGATTTCACGCTGTGAAAAGTTGCCGGCAATTCTCAGGCAACTTCCTGAGAAAGCGGCAGAGGAGCGGCAGGGCTGGGGAGAGCGGCGGGTTTGGGACAGCGTTAGAGGAAACCCGGCAGGGTTTGCGAGAACGGCGAAGGAAACTGGGCAGGGTTTGGGACAGCGGCGAAGGAAACCCGGCGGGTGTCTGAGGAGTTGCGGATTTGCAAAGAAAAACAGCCCAAGTTTCAAAAAGAGCGGGCTTTCAAGGAAAAATACAGTTCCGAGCCGCGTCGGCGAAGAGGCGAGAGCCGGTGCTGCGAGGACAGGTTGGGTTGATTTCGATTTCTTTTTTTTTTTTTTTTTTCTTCATTTTTTTCCCTTCCATTTCCTTTTTTTCTCTTCTTTTTTTCTTATTTTCTTTCTTTTTTTTTTTTTTTTTTCTTTTCCTTCTCTTCTGTTTTTTTTTCTCTCTTTTTTTCTCCTTCCATTTCCTTTTTTTTTTTCTTATTTTCTTTTTCTTTTTTTATTCGGTTTTTTTCCCCCCTTTTCCCCTTATTTTCCTCCTTTTTTTTCTTCTTATTTGTTATTTCTTCTTCTTTCATTTCTTCTGTTTCTCCTTTGAGGCCAGACGCTGCCAGGCTGGCAGCAATCCCAATAAAGGTGTATTATCCACTAACGATCCATTTTTCCAGCATGAGCCAGTTCCCGGCGGAGCCCCAGACCTGTCCCTCCCACAGATGCTTCGTTCCCCGGTGTTGTTAAATTTCCCCTGTGTTATTCCCTTTTCCCCAGCGTTATCCCGGCGGTCCCATGGCTGCGCGGCGCTGGAGGGGTCTCCCCTTTGGGAATCTCTCTGATTGTCCCAACGGCTCCCGCTGGATCATGGATGTGTTCAATGAGTGTGCCCAGGACAGCCGGGATGTCGCCAGCATCGTGCTGGGGCTGGGCTCCATCGTCTGCTTCATCGCCGCAGCCTTCCCGTGAGTATTGCTCCCGACTCCCCGGGTACCGCTCCCGAACCCCTGGGTGACGCTCCCAAATCCCTGAGTACCGCTCCCAAATCCCTGAGTTCCGCCCCCACATCCCGGGCAGCCCTTCCCGGGGGATGGCAGACATCGAGCCGCAAGCACAAGGTGCCCGAATTATTAAATGCCCCCGGCGCAAGCAGCGAGGGCTCGGCAGATTTCGGGTGGGGGGAGCAGGCAGCACAGCCCAGAGCTCCGGTGCGGCCGCGGTGTTGTTGCTGTGCTTGTCAGCCGGAATGTCCCACGTCAGGCACGTGCAGGGCCGGCAGGACAGGTCACACTGCAGAAGGAATGTCCCCAGGAGCCCTGGGGTACTTGGAAGTGCTGACACAGGGTGGCTGCGGGGCTCGTGAGGAGTCGCGGTTCTTTTGCAACCGGAGGGGAGGATCCTGCAGCTGGGGTCATCCTCCCTGCTCCTCCCACAGGGCCCTCGGTGAGCGCCGGTGGGGCTCGGGAGTTCTACCTGGGGCCAGGGGAACGTGTGGCCTTGCATTCCCTGCCTTGACTGCTTTGGGATCCACAGGAATCCTGGGGATGGCTCCCAGGTAGCGCTGAAGCAGCTGAGGGTGATGTTTGTTCCCCTGCCCAATGCTCTGCAGGCAGTTCTACCAGGCCTGCAGAACGGGCATCATGGACCAGGCTCTCTCCATCTATTTCCTGCTGGGATGGCTGGGCGGAGACCTCCTCAACCTCATCGGTTCCTTCCTGGCTGATCAGCTGCCCCTGCAGGTACCTGGGCTGGCTCTCAAACACCCCAGCTCCAGGGAGGAGGGAGGGGCTGGCAGCTGCTTTATCCAGCACTGGGAGCCAGAGACCCAAACTGCCTGGGATGCTCCCTCTTTGCTCCAAAGAAATGCTCCCCTCTCCCATTCTGGGCTTGCTCCCTTTTCCCCTCAGGGTGTGGTCCATTCTCTCCCAGGCATGCTCCCTCCTTCCTCCCTGGGCTTGCTCCCTTTTTCCTCCCTGGGGATCCCCCCTGGGCTTGCTCCCTTTTTCCTCCCTGGGGATCCCCCCTGGGCTTGCTCCCTTTTTCCTCCCTGGGGATCCCCCCTGGGCTTGCTCCCTTTTTCCTCCCTGGGGATGCTCCCTTCTTCCCCTCTTGGTGTTTTCCCTTCTCTCCCAGGAATGCTCCCTTCCTCACGCCCAAGTTATTCCTTTCCCACCCTCTGGGGCCATTCCCTTCTCCACCTCGGGACACTCCCCTCTCCCCCAGGGACACAGGTACCTGGGCTGGCTCTCAAACACCCCAGCTCCAGGGAGGAGGGAGGGGCTGGCAGCTGCTTTATCCAGCACTGGGAGCCAGAGACCCAAACTGCCTGGGATGCTCCCTCTTTGCTCCAAAGAAATGCTCCCCTCTCCCATTCTGGGCTTGCTCCCTTTTCCCCTCAGGGTGTGGTCCATTCTCTCCCAGGCATGCTCCCTCCTTCCTCCCTGGGCTTGCTCCCTTTTTCCTCCCTGGGGATCCCCCCTGGGCTTGCTCCCTTTTTCCTCCCTGGGGATGCTCCCTTCTTCCCCTCTTGGTGTTTTCCCTTCTCTCCCAGGAATGCTCCCTTCCTCACGCCCAAGTTATTCCTTTCCCACCCTCTGGGGCCATTCCCTTCTCCACCTCGGGACACTCCCCTCTCCCCCAGGGACACCAGGAGAGCAGGGAGCAGTCCTGTGGGACCATCCCAGGTCCCCATGGGTGTCCCCACCATGTCCCCTCCCCACAGGTGTACACGGCCATTTACTACGTGCTGGCAGACCTGGCCATGCTCTCCCTCTACTGCTACTACCGGCTGAAGAACGGGGGCAGAGCCTGTGAGTTGGGGCAGGGTGGGGCCTCTGCTCCCCTGGGCACTGGGAGCACAGGGGGGCATTCCAGGGCACTCTGGGAGCTTGGGAGATTCCAGGCACACTTGTTGGATGGTGCCTCTTATTGCTTGCTGGGTTGATTTTTGGTTTTTTTCCCCTTGGATAATTTGAGCCCCTAAGAGAGCCAAAGCCAACAAGCAGCTAAAGACTGGGCCTGGGGCTTCTGCAGCCCCTGTAACCCCCAACCCCCATGGTATCCAGGCTGAAAACAACCCCCCATGAGGCTCATGGGGCACAGAATTAAATAAATCCCCCACAGTTTCACAGTGACTCCACCTCAGAGCTAGGAATCACAGAACTCCTGACTCAGGCAGTGCTGGAAGGGAGAGGGGGAAGTTTTCCCACTGTTTCTGGGCCAAAACTTGACAGGGAAGTTCCTGTCTGTTCAACTGGAGTGAAAAGGGAACCTGAGCAGTTCTTGCAGGGTTTAAACAGACAGAGAAGATCCCCTTTCCAGCACTGCTGAACCCCAAACAGGCTCCTTGGGACTGGGGTGATTGTTTAACTTAGTAAAGACACATAAAGTTATTAGCCAGTTGGTATTTGACCCATCAGATACAAGGTTTTGTTAAGCTGGAGAGCTTGCTTACTGAATATAATCACTAAAAACTACTGAAAAATAGTAAAATACTACTAACAAATAAGCCACAGCAGGGCTTGCTCTGGCAGAGATTTGAGAGTGACTTAAGACAGTGAAATCTTCTAGTGGGGATGATTCTGTGGAGCCCTAAACCCAAAGAAACCGAGATGAGAGCAGTTTCCTCCCTGATAAGGTACAAATTGGGCACATCACTGGGAGATAAATCACATCAGTCACCCACAGCAGCCACTGCCCCATCCCTTGGTGAGCTAAGGGAGAGTTCAGAGGTTGCTCAGTCCCTTGGTGAGATAAGGCAGAGTTTGGAGGTTTCTTCACCCCAAGAGGGTCCTGGCAGCCCCGGGGCTGTTGGGGGTTGCTGGGCTCTCCCTGATCAGGCTCTGTCTGCCTCCTGCAGTCCCTGCTCCCATCAATGCAGCCTTCGTGTTCCTCTCCGTGGGGTCCCTGTCCAGCCTCTCCCTCCTGGGCAGTGCCAGCACCGAGGCTCCAGGAGCCTCCTTCAAAGGGAGGTCTCTGCTGTCAGCTCCTGGGGATGAGCTTGGACCAAAGGTGAGCCACTTCCTAGATCTGGGAGATGGGATAGAGGTCTGGTGGGGATGCCCTGCTGGATGCTGTGATCCCAAAAAAACCACCCTGGACCCCAGCACGTGTTTTGGGGTTAGGGGCTGTTTCTATTTTAGGGCCAAATTGTTCTGCAGGAGACTGTTAGAGTCTAGGAAGATGGCACTGGAAAGAGAACTTTTCTAAAGATTCCTCCAAAAACCAGAAACAGTTTGCTGCAGGATTTCAGGCATTTCAGGGCATTTTTGCTTCAAACACTGCTATGGGCCTGCTCAAGAGTCAGCAAAGCTCACATTTCCCACATCTCTGTTTGCAAACAGAGTCTATCTCACTCACATAGCTGCATAGGATGGACAAAAAAATGTGGTTCCTGTGTTCAGGAAATTTGTAATACTTCTCCCCTTTAATTCTTTTTATATCCACATTTATTATCCACATTTATATATATTACTGAAAATCAAACAAGCAAGAAAGTGCAGCAAGGTAACTCAGTTGGCTGAAACTGAAAGTAGGTTTGCAGAACAGTTTTGCTCTGGCAGTAGAAAAGGACCTGTCCAAGCAATGCAAACAAACCCAGTTCCCGTTATAACAGATTGCACTGTGGCAAGGTGAACTGTAATTATCAGTTGTAATTATCAGCGGGCTGTCAGGAGGGGAGCTGGGCACCCGCGGGGCTGGGCGTGGCTGTGCTGGGGCTCTGAGCACAGGGGCTGTCCCTGTCCCTGTCCCCGCCCCTGCCTTGCAGCCTTTCTCCAGGACTGAAATCATCGGATTTGCCATCGGCTCCATCTCCTCCGTGCTCTACCTGTGCTCCCGAGTGCCCCAGATCTGCACCAACGTGAGTGCCCAGCCTGACACCCCGGGGCTCCTCATGTGCCACTCCCAGGGGGCTGGGGAGTCTCCTTCCTCCCCAGAGGGTTCTCCTTTCTCCCTGGGGTTCTCCTTTTTCCTCTCTGCTCAGAGGTCCCAGGCCCCATCTCTGATCATTCCATAAGGGACTACTTCTCTGTATTTATTTTTCTCCCCTCCCTTTAACTTACTGATATTTTGAGGGCAGGGATTTCATTTTGTCTAATTTACAAGCCAAAGGGGAACTTAAAGACTCTCAGCATTGAGTCACCACTTCTCTTTTTTAATGCTGGGGGAGAGCATGATTAATAGCTCATTGTAGAGAGATCTAGGAGAGCTGCACCCAAGCTCGTCTCCTCTCCCTGTTTTCCCAGTACCAGAGGAAATCCACCAGCGGGGTCTCCTACTCTCTCTTTGCCCTGGTGATGCTGGGGAATTCCCTGTACGGCCTCAGTGTCCTCCTGAAGAACCCGGAGCCAGGCCAGGGCCAAGGTGACTACATCCTGCACCACCTGCCCTGGCTGGTGGGCAGCCTGGGCGTGCTGGCCCTCGACGTGGTTGTATCCTTTCCCCTGGGCTGGGATCCCCTCCTGCCAGCAGGGCCTTGCGGGAGAGGGGCGGGCAGGGCTGGGCAGGAGGCTGGGGTGGTGCTGCTGCACGGCTGGGAAACGCCTCAGCCCCTGCTGTGCACTGAGCTGCCCGTCCTGTTCCCACCTGTCCTGGCACAAACTCGGGGTGCTGACACCCAGTGCATCCCTGAGATCCCCCTGAGTGTGCAGAGCCTTGACCTCTCCCCAGATCTCCTTCCAGTTCCTGGCCTATCGGAAAGGACGGCCTGGCACCCTCGAGGAGAGGGGTGCTCTCCTGGGGGAGCCGGATGAGAGCTCAGAGAGCTGACAGAGGGACCTGCCCCACAGGGAGAGGAGGAGGAAGAGGAGGATGCACATGAGGAAGGTGGCCTTAGGGCTGGGCACACCAGCCCCTCCATCCTGGTGGCTCCTGGCAGAAGAGGCCCCGAGGCCGTGGGTGACACGTGGTGCTGCCCAGGCGGTGGCCGAAGATGCTGCTGGGACACCTAGTGCCTCTTTGATACCAATGATGCTTTCAGGATAAAAGGGAATTTTTGGATACCTCAGTTGCTCTTCGCTGCTCCAGTGCCCCACAGCTGAGCCTGGTCACTGCTGTGTCTGCCAAGGGTGATCTGGAATTTCCTTGGTGCTGAAAAACATGGGGAGAGCCTGAGTGGGGAGGGGACAGGGTGACTGACCTGCCACAGACACAACCCTGTGACCTCACAACTGCCCCCTCAGCTCCTTCTGGAAGACACAGGGCTGGATCCAGTGGGGAAGGAGCAGCAGAACCAAAGAGTTCAGTCCACACCTATTTTAATTAGCACGGCTCACCCATCTATAAAACACATCCTTCCCCACCTGCGTCCTTTGGTTTCATTTTGCTGCTTTACCTGGCAGCTCCTGCCTCTTTGCTAATGAGTCTCACAGTCCCATTTCTCTGACTTCTCTTTTTTTGCCTCACCCATGTTTTAATTGCATGGATTCCTTGGGGAAGTTGCTCCATTGCTGTTCCCCAGCAGAAGAGCTGCTTCTCTGCTCGCTCTGGTTTTCACTTCCTGCCCTCTCTCCTTGATGAATTTATCAACCTGACAAATTTATCCTCAACCTGATGTATTTATCCTCAATCTGATGAATTTATCCCCAGCACTATTGAGTTTATCCCCCTCTTGGGGCCCTGAACTCAGCACAGTGCTCCTCGAGCAGGGAAGGACAGGAAGCAGGGCTGGGCTATCACAGCTTGGCCTTGTGAAAACAAGAGCTTTCCTTTCCTGCAATTCCTATCAGCTCTTCCTTTTGCTTCCCTTTCCCCTGTCCAGCTCCCTTCCTGATACCCAGCATCGTGTCTCTTTTGGCTTTAGCTCCATTATCATTAATTTATGGTTCCTCAGCCAGTCCATGACATTTGTCCTTCCCAAGGAAGTTGCTCTGCTTTGTTCTCACACTGAGGACACCAATCCATGGATCTCACATTAAATGGGATTCCAACTGCTCAGTGCCCACCCAGCTGCAGCAGCAGGTTCATGGGAACACAGGCTGGGCCAGTTCTTGGGACTGAGCCAGCTGCCTTCAGAAAGGAGATGTATTTTTCAGTCTCTCTGAGCCCCTTGAACCAAGTGAGTGAATTTTTACTGGATTAATTAAGGATTCTGCCCCTCCAGCTTCACAGGCAATGGGACTGCTCACCTCATCCTGAAGCAGCAGCATTTCCTGTCCTGTCTTACCCCGGGAATTGTAGAACAGTTCATCTGTTTTAATCCAAACCATGAGTAATCCCTCATCTCTGCCACTACAACACAAAATAATTGAAAATAGTTGTCACATACTGGCTTTTCCCAAACCTGGGCAAAGAAGCTCTGCCATAAGGAGGAAAGAGTGCATATGTGTGTATATGTATATATTTATATTTGTGTCACAGTCTGTCCCCACAGGTGCACCTGGAGCACCAGTTAGGTACAAAGCTGATTGACTCTGACTTTCCTTGGGCTGGGCAGGATGGAGCAAGGTGAGCAGCTGCACCCAGAGCTCACACACCCACAGCCACCCCAGGGTGGCTGCAATTCCTGAGGCTCTCCCAAGGTTCCCATCCCTCCAAGTCACTGCTGCAGCTCTGTCCCTGTGATCAGGATTTTGCAGAGGCAAATGTTAAAGCAGAAAAGGCCGTGCAGGAGCAACCCCCCCTGAGAGAGAGGACAACTGAAAACCTCAGCAGATCTCCCCCTCCCAGGCTCCAGAGCTCACACAAACATCTCCAGCTTCAGCAAAGGTTTGTGCTGGGACAGAACCCTGAGGCTGCAGCCAAATCCCGGAGTGGAGTGTTCCCTGGGGAATCCCAGCCTTTCCCAGGCTGTGTCCCACAGCAGCTCCTGCAGGCTCTGGGTGAACTCTGGCCACGTGCAGGAGTCTGGGTGGGACACAGTCATGGTACAAAACCAAACTGGAGCACATTAATTAAGCCCTGTTAATGCCAACGGTGCCCACTTGCAGAGGGTCACACAGGGCGGTGCCCAGGGCCAGGAAGAGCCCAGCAGATCTTTCTGTGCTTCCCCAGGATTAGGTCTGGTACAACCACAGCCTGCAGGGAACCCAAAGCTGTGCCAGGTCCCTCTGCCCAAGGGCTCAGGAGGAGACGCTGGGGGAAGGTCACCGGTGACACAGGAGGAGCTTTTGGGTCAGGGATGGGAGGAACCACCCACCCCAGCACGGCTGCCCTGCCCAGGGCTGGACACAGGAGCCCCCAGGCAGACCCTCCTCCCCTGCACACCTGCAGATCCACGTGCTGGATGCCTGGAGCATCAACCCCAGCACCTTGGAAGGGCAGCAGAGTGAGTAACACAAGGCCAAAGAGCAGAGGGACATCACACCCCCTTCCAGACAAACATCTCTGGATGTGGGACAAAAAAACCCCAAGTAACCCTGCAAGGAACGAGAGAGAAACAAGGAGGACACGATCACACAAACATCTTCCTGGGGTTTTTTTTGGTTGTTTTTATTGTTTTAGTCTTTTTTTTTCCTTTTCTTTTTTTTTCCATTTTTTAGTATGGAGGCTCAAGTATCAGATGTAGATTCAATTTAAGCTTTACAAAAAAAACAAAAAATCAAAACAAAAACCCCTTTTGCATTCCATAAAAATTGACAGAAAAGCGCCTTGGAACCAGGCTATAGAAGAGCAGAACTTTCAGCAGGTCTCGAAATCACCATCTCCTGCACATCTGGGTTACTCAGTATTGTACAACCCCGAGGAACACCCTCTCTTCCCTCCCTCCCTGCAGCCAGCCCCTGTGCCCAGCCCCCAAACATACGTGGAATAGATTATTTTTCTTTTTTTTTCTTTTTTTTTTTGTTTTTCCAGTTCTTCCTCTTTCACACACCACAGTATTTAATAAATTTTTGTTTTACATTTTTTACACCAATGTAACAAAAGGCAGGAGGGGTGAGGGAGGAAAAGACAAACAATGATCTGTGGTGATGCATATAAATGGGGGAGGGTGGGAAAGGGGGGAGAGAAAAAAATAATACATGGACTTCTACAGAAACATAGCCTAAGGTCTCAATAGTAAAATGTGGTGCAAAGTAGGCCTCAGAGACTGAAAAAGTTTGTACAGCTTTATTCATGGGGAGAGGATGGCGCTGCATGGAGAGTATTGGATGCAAATCGTGACGTGACCAACAGAAAAGGGCGGGGATGATTCTCTAGGAAAGGAATCTAACGAGTGCATGGCATGGCTGGTTAGCACTGACAGGACTTTAACTTTGCTGCTTCCTCTTCAAAGCCTCCACCAGGTCGTTTTTAAGAGCTTCTTGTTTTGATTTGTCTGCAAAAGTCTGCACAGACCTGTGGGGAAGAAGGAAAGGGGGGTCAGAGGCAGGGCAGGGCAGGGAGCAGTCCTGGGAGTCAGGAGGAGCCCCTGAGCCCAGGCTCAGCTCTGCCCGGGAAGCAGCAGCGGCCGCCGGAGAACACAAAGCAGAACCCGCTGCGGCAAGGGCGGGCGCCAGAGGCTTCCCCGCGGCCCCGGCTGCCGCAGGGAGAGCCCCGGGGCTTCGCGTTCACACTGAAGAAGCCCAGCGCCCCACAGCCAAGGGTTTAGCTCCTGCTGCCCCCAGTCCAGAGAAAACCCAGCCCCACCTGGAGAAGGGCCGGGCTGGGGAGCTCTGACCCTTCTGCAGGACCGTTCACCAGGGTGGCCTCGGAACCTCCCGCCAGCCTTTGCACCGCTGGGAAAAGCAGCCGGAGGTTCTGCTCTCAAATTCGCCTTTTTTTGTACCTTCCCTAAGGAATGAGTAATCAAAGCAGCTGAAGAACAGAGACACTGTCACCAGGTTATTGCAGGGCTTCCCTTTGCCTGAAAGTACAGAGGAAAAGCTCCACCTTTCAGGAATCACCTGGGATCGCTGCCTGTGGAGGAACCTCTGATTTCAGTAAGACAATAAGAAATTTTGAGTTTTAAAAAGGCCCCTCTTAAATAGATTGATAGAATGGGTTCTATCCAGGACCAAACTTTTCCAGAGTGGCTACCACAGAGAAATGGTAGGATCCAGTTGGGTAGGATTTCTCCCCACCTAAACCACATTTCACAGCCTTTACAGCACCTGGGAGAGTGAAGATTTCCCTGCCCGTGGCAGGGGGTTGGAATTGCAGCCAAATTTAATTGCAGGCAGCTTTAAGGGCCAACCCAAACCAGTCTGGAATTCTGTGATTCAGAGCAACCTCATTTTCCCTGGTTGCTGTCTCCTGTAAACAAGGCTGCTCTCTGTGGTGGTGATTTTCCAACCATTTTTGTAACGGTATTTCCATTCTCTTGTCTCTGGAGACTTCTGCTGCTTTAATAAAAACATATACACTTATATTTGCATTTGTCATAGGCTGAAGAAGTGGTTCTTGGCCACTATCAACAAATAGTGAGTTTCCTCCTTCGTCAGCTGAATGTGTTTGAAAGAACATCTGTAACTGGTTAGGAACTGGAGTGGAAGGTTAAGGTGGCTCAGGGTTAGTCACTGCCCTGACACTCAGAGCTCCAGAGCAAACGAGCACAGCAAGAGATCCCTCTGGAGGCTGTGCAGAGCAGGAGCAGGGGAGGCTGGCCATGTCTGAGTGAGCTTGAGCAGGACTGCACCTCAAGCTCCCAGGACACTCAAACTCCACCAGCTCAGGGGAAGGTGTCTGGGCGAGCACACGTTTACTCTGAAGTCATGGGAAGAACCAGTCTTTTTTTTTTTTTCCAAACTGTGACACTCCCAAGATTTCACTCTGCAGGGAGTACACTGGGATTACAGGGAATTTCTTCATGGAAGTGGTGTACCACAAGTGTAAGAAACTGCTGGTGCCCAAGGGACAGAGTCCTGGGGCTGCTGGATTGAATCAGCCCAATCCCAGGGCACTCCAGGCACAGGACCACGTGCTCCTTTCCTGCTCCCAAGCCAGAGTGCAAAGTGGTAAATCCTGCCCCAGTTCCGAGCATGAGGTATCCATGGGGAGGAGAAAACACTGAAAACAAGAACCAGAGCCCTGAGACAGAGCCCAGGGTGGCTGGGCTGGCTGCTCCCTGCGGATTAGGGGTTAGTTCTTCCCGTTACCATGCAGGGGCTGGGCTGGTGAGTCCTGGTTTAGTGCTGGCTCACACCTCACAGGCAGCAGGGGTACCTGGATTGGTTTAGTTATCAGGCTGGATGTAGATCTGGCGCTGGGTCAACACTTGAGAAAGTTCCCTCTGCAACTGCTTATACTTTTGGTTGTCAGGAATAGCATCGATAGATCTACAGAGAGCAGTGGGAAACCAGGGAGCAAACAGGGAAAAGAACAGTCAGAAGAACTCAGTAACACAGAGCTGGGGCTCCGGGAACCTCCAGGGAGGAGAAGGGGACACACACAGGAGAGAAGGAGCAGGGACAGGCTGGAGGAGCCAGGGGCTCTGGGGGGTTCCATCCCAGGCTGCACACAGGGCCAGGACTCAGACTGAGGCACGGGGAGACACAGCAGAGATTCAACCACAACAGCTCAAGGCAACGTTCCCAAGACAAAGGCTCTATTACAGATTCCTTCTGATGTCAATAAAAGCTTCCTGGCTAAACCCTGCTCAGCACAAAGGAAACTGAGGCTGCTCTCACCTGGGCTTGGGGCAGAACCCAGAGCAGCAGAACCCCTCCCACAGGTCCTGCTGCTCCCTCTGCCCATACAGCAGCACCAATATTTAATTAACACCCTTTTTCTCTCTTCCTCCACTTCTCAGTGTGTGAAGGAAGAGCAGAGCATTTATTTGTGCCCTTTGGTTATTCTACATTAGCACACTGTGCTGGGAGGTCTCTCTGTACTTTAAAATGAAGTGATTTGGCATCACAGTTCTGTGCTTTCCTCTGTGAGCATAAGAATTACCAGCTTGGGATTTCCATGTCCAATTCCTGTTCAGGAATGAGCAGGGGCTGAACAGTACAGCACAGTTTCCTCACAGAAAGGCACAGGAATTTAATATCTTCTCACACACTGCATTTTGACCAGTGGTGTTGAGAGAAAGACAGAATTTAAAACAAAGTCTAAGCCACAAACCACTCATGTCATGACTTAATTCTGGGACTATTTTTAAGGACAGTAGAAAGAGAAGACAGAATTTAAGTACAGCTTGCAGGACTGTGAAGAATAAACTAATGAAAAATAATCCAAAAATACAAGTGTTAGTTGGGCTGTTTTGCTCCTGGTGGGGGAACAAGGGATTAAAACATTGCTTCAGATTTCTGCAGCAGAAGAGTTCCCTGGACTTCACACAACAAATCCTGTCCCACAGCACAGGGAGGGGAAAACCAAGCAGCTCAAGGCTGGGGTGGCACTGCAGGGATGCAAAGGGTCCCCCACCCACTGCAGGTCCCTTACCTCAGCCCATTAACGATGTCCTTTGTCTTTCCAAAATAAATCTCATTCAGTGTACTTCTGATTTTGTTTTCCATGTCCTGGAAAAGAAAGTAGCACAGCAGCTCTTCAGTCCTCAGCTTTTGCAGGGATGCTGCAGCACCAGGGTCTCTGTGCCCACAGCCCCTGGAGCACTGCCAGCACTCAGACCCCCCCAAACCCCCGGCAGCAGCCCCTGCTCCCCTCCCAGCACCGGGGCTTTGTTCCTCTCCCCCCTCCCAGCCCATCTCTGCAGGTATGGGAGCTCTGCACCACGAGAGGGCAGCTCCTCTCCAGCTCTGCACAGAAGGAAAACGCACCACCCCAGCCTTCCCCAGCAGCTTCCTGGCACTGACGGCTCCAAGAGCCCAGCCAGTCCTTCAGGAGAACCAACAGCCCAGAGCTCTGTGCCCAGGGGTGACTTGGAATTCCTGACTTGTTCTTTACAGCTGCACGACAGAGCTCTGAGAGACATCTTGTAACAAAGCAGCTTTTTTTCATTGCTTTCACTCAAGCAAAAAGACTTAAAAAAGGATCAAAAAAGAAGCAGCTGCCTTTCTTTAATTTCCCAGTTCCCTAAACACATCATAGTTGAGATTTCCTCCTTTCTTGGCTATAACAACGAAGAAAATCTGGAACACCTTCAGTCAGGACAGTGCAGTGAAACCTTCTGAGCAGCTCCACTCCTTGTGCTGAGCCCCCAGGACTGAGAGCTGCCACAAAACCCAACACCAAACCCAATTCCAGGGGATTCCACAAGCACTCGATACACACTGAACTTCCACTCCAAGGGACAGTGCTGTGTAACAACCTGACTTGAAATAATTCTCCCCAGAAGTGGCTGCAAAAGCAAACATGAGGGTAGGAAGCTGTTCACTGGTGCTCAGGAATGGACAGCCAGGCTCCAGGGAGTCCCTGCAGTGCTGAGCACGAGACAAGGGCCAGAGGGTGGCTTTGTACCCACAGACAGG